CTATCCAATAACACTTTACAAAATTAATTATTTAATTTATAAAAATAAACTTACAAAAGTAACAAATTAATATATGTTGTCAAATAACTCAAATATCGAGCCCGGAACTCATAGATAATTACTCAGTCCAATTCAATAATTAATTATTTAATTTATTAAATTAACAAAATTGTAAAAATGCTGAAATTGACACGCATAATAATTAAGGATAAGTTGGTGCTACCGGGGTCAATTATCAAGCCTGGGAACTCATACATAATTATTCAGTACAATTCAATAATTTTTAATTTAATTCTTTAATCTAACAAAATTCCATCGAGCCTGGAAGGGCATACATAATTATTAAGTCCAATTCAAGAATTTTTAATTTAATTTATTAAACAAATAAATTTCTAAAAAATATTTGGAATGACACACATAATAATTAAGTATAGCTTGGTGCTACCGGGCCTCAAATATCGAGCCTGGAAGCCATTCATAATTATTAAGTCCAATTCAAGAATTTTTAATTTAATTAATTAAATATAGCTTGGTGCTACCGGGCCTCAAATACCGAGCCTAGAAGGGCATACATAATTATTAAGTCCAATTCAAGAATTTTTAATTTAATTTATTAAACAAATAAATTTCTAAAAAATATTGAAAATGACACACATAATAATTAAGGATAGCTTGGTGCTACCGGGCCTCAAATATCGAGCCTCGAACCCATAGATAATTACTCAGTCCAATATTAAAAATAATTATTTAATTTATTAAACTAACACACATATTAATTTTGTTTAAATTATAGTAGACGACATGGCCTTTCCTCCGCCTCCGCATCCTGGACCTGCCGAGGATCAGCTGTTAGTGTTGCAGGGCGACCATAGGTCCTCCTATGTATGGGAGGGACAGCTATCGGAGCAGGCTCTCCGCCCCAGGAGACCTGATGATTTGTGGGAGTTCATCGTGGAGCATCCTTTCCATGCCCGCGTAGTCGCGCGCCTACAGGCTACGGGCTTCTATACTATTTTTGAGCTTGGACGGATGCAGCTTGATTGGTCTCTTATCACGGCGTTGGTAGAGCGGTGGCGACCGGAGACGCACACTTTTCACTTGCCCACTGGAGAGGCCACCATCACGCTGGAGGATGTTCAGGTTTTGTACGGGTTGCGCATAGATGGACTGGCCGTGGCACTACCCCAGTACATTAGATCCATGACGCGTGCACAGTTTTTGGATATGATGGGGCAGTTTACTGGTTATAGACCTCAGGGTGGCGCTGGGGGTAGTCGTGTTCTTTTGTCAGCCATCAGAGATCATATGGCGTTTTTGCACCCTGACATTGCCGGCGAGACGGAGGATCTCCACATTCAGAGGTACACGCGGTTGGCGCTGCTCCTGCTTTTCGGGTGTGTCTTGTTCACGAACACTTCGGGGAGTACTGTGAGTATGCGCTTTCTCCGTCATCTTCAGCAGCTGGATGATTTACCCCAGTACAGCTGGGGTGCTGCTGTTCTCGCATACCTGTATAGGAGCATGTGCCGGGCGAGCATGGGCCCAGCCGTGGACATATGTGGTTTTCTGCCCCTCCTACAGGTGATAACATTTTCGAATACTCTGTTCATTACTCTGAATTCTATATGGTCGAAATGACTCATAAATTTTACATCAACCTTTTATCTTAGGTTTGGGCCTGGCAGCGGATCATGCCGTTGCAGCCACCTCTGCTACCACTTGCGCCTGGTGAGGCTTATTCGTTTCTCCCTCTAGCTTCTAGGTGGATTCTCCGGCGTGGGAACTACCAAGGGAGCGATGCTCATCATAATCTCCCCCTTGTCAGGGATGTGTTAGATATGCTGGTGGACGGACAGGTAAATATGTACCTACACTTGCGAATTATTAATTCAGTTGTGTTGCGCATACTCACTTTTATGTTATTATTTGGTAGTTCATTTGGACGCCATACAACGACGAGTTGCTAGCTCAGTTGCCCGATATTTGCTCAGTCGACAGACTGCTTTGGAGCACCTCCGTCCCGATGATCGTCTTCGATATGGTTGAGTATCATGCCACAGAGCGTGTACTTCGCCAGTTTCACCGTCCCCAGCCTATACCGGGGGAGCCTGGATGGGAGGCTACACACTATCAGCGGGACGACCGTGCCAGGGTGGACGTTATATATATGGGATGGCTAGAGCAGCAAGTCCATACTTGGGAGGAGCGAGGTCACCGTATTCGGCCACCACCTACATTTACCCAGGAGGCCACTATTCATCTGTATACGTCATGGTACCGCCGTCACACCCGACTGATGATCGGGAACCCCATTCATGTACTTGGCGATCGCTACAGACCATACGCCGGGAGGCACGAGGCACTGGTATGTTTTTGTGGCTTATTAATATTTTATAATTGTTATATAGCGTTATTTAATTAATATTTTAAATGTTTCACAGGCTATTGGGCATCATCACCTCTACCAGATGGCTCAGGAGATGCAGCAGCATGCCGACAATCCTGCACTCGTTGACTATGGCCGGCAGGTGGCACAGGTGGCTCATCGGACCCTGCTTCAGGCGAGAGATGCCGCGAGGTTGGACCACAAGGCTCAGTATGCGGCGCCAGAGGACTACCGTCGGGGTAGGGGTGTCCCACGAGACAGAGGTAGGGCACGAGGGAGGGGTGCTCCACGGGGTCGCAGGGGTCGTGGGGGACGGCGAGGAGGTGGTCCCCAGCAAGGGGGCTATGAAGCACTTGTTGGCCCACCCGTGGAGGGACATGATGGGGATTTTGGAGATGAGGCTCTTGGAGATGATCAGCCGGGTTATGGACCTCAGGTAGATGAGCCATCCAGCAGCATGCCGTCGTACAGCCTTCAGCTCTCTCTTCCAACATCGCAGGTCACCCCGTCAGGAGCATTGTCGATCACGGGTACATTCGACGGGGATGTAGACCAGTACCTTGCATGCCCATCTACCGCAGCTGAGGACCGGCCCACCCGGGACGTGGATGGCGGGCGCAGGTTGAGTTATGCCTCATCCCTAGCGGTTGATGCGGATCTACCACAGGCGCAGGTATGTTTGTATTACTTTAAAATTTCAATTTGTTTTCTTTTCCTTAATGAGCTGACATTAATTAATTTTTAACTTTCTTATGAAGGTTTCGTCCCAGCCCATCTTCGAGGCCACTACATGCTTTGATGAGGACACCACGGATGCATATACTTAGGCAGCGGACGAGACCACGGTGAGAAAATATTTTTTGACTCAACACGTACAATACAAATATACTTTTTCACATGCTAAGATTACTACTTATTTTGTAGGTTGCTGACGGCCCGACAGCCTATTCTTCCGATCATGCCAGCTGTGGTGTCGATGCTACTGCACATCCTCACATAAAGAGGCGGCTTGATGACGATGATCCAGATAGTGTACCCGGACGACAGGGGATGCGACTTAGGCCGGCAGCTGCACTGAAGCACACAGGCTGCGGGACTCACTGATTTACTTGTGTTTTTTACTTTGTGTAAATAGTGCATTATGTAAATAATGGTAACAATTATCTTTTAACAATAATTTTATTTTAATTACATTTGAACAGCAATTTAACTTAAACAGTACAACACAAACACAAACCTTGCAAACCTAACACAAAAACAAACAGTAAAACTAAAAGGAAACATAAAGAAAGTAGTTTTTTTGACATGGATTTCATCTTTTTCAGAATGACAAGACAACTCCAAAAAACGTAGTACTATACTGCGAATTAATTATTATATTTTTCTGCAAGAAATCAGCTTTTTTCACATGGTTTTCATCTTTTTCAGAACGACAAGACAACTCCATAAAGCGCAGTACTATACTGCGAATTAATTATTAAATTTTTCTGCAAGACATCAGCTTTTTTTCACATGGTTTTCATCTTTTTCAGAACGACAAGACAACTCCATAAAACACAGTATTATACTGCGAATTAATTATTAAATTTTTCTGCAAGACAGCAGCTTTTTTCACATGGTTTTCATCTTTTTCAGAACGACAAGACAACTCCATAAGACGCAGTACTATACTGCGAATTAATTATTAAATTTTTCTGCAAGACAGCAGCTTTTTTCACATGGTTTTCATCTTTTTCAGAACGACAAGACAACTCCATAAAACGCAGTACTATACTGCGAATTAATTATTAAATTTCTCTGCAAGACAGCAGCTTTTTTCACATGGTTTTCATCTTTTTCAAAACGACAAGACAACTCCATAAAACGCAGTACTATACTGCGAATTAATTATTTTGTCTCGCCTATAAATAACAGGCTCATTGTAGTTATTTTGTATGCTCAAAATTTACTAAAAGCAGATATTTCATTAAAAGTAAGGTTTTTTTTACTAAAAGCAAATATTTCATTATATGGCTCAACCTCTTCGTCCACCACAGTGCTACTGTGGAAAATTATGCATGATGCAAAATTGTTGGGACGGTGGTGAAGCTGGACGCCGCTACTGGCACTGTATGAACCAGTTTTACAAGGTTCCCGGTGAACCTATTTGTGAGTTTGAGGAATGGGTTGATGAACCATGTTATCAGGAATACTACAAAGAGAAACTACAGTTTCTTCATAATATGTGTTTACGCCGCCAGGAAACACAAAGCGAAAGCGATAGAATTATTGCAGAAATGAGGGCGAAACTGAAAGAGGTGGGAGAAGAAAAATGGAAAGCACAATGGAATTGTGAAGCACAAAATGAACGTAAAAAAAATATAAATGGGAACTTGCGGAGGTGAAGGCGAAACTGAAAGAGGTAGAAGAAGAAAAAGAACAACTGGAAGAACGATTTAAGTGGTTGGAGCGGAGAGTAAATGGATACCGGGACTAAACATTGGCATGTATGTGTTTAGTGTATTTTTCATATTTCATATATTTATATTATGTTGGGCTGCTACGTTTGTGTTTGTGCTGTAGTAATGTTTTCCTTGTTTGTTGTACTAAATTTTATTTTAATTGAAGTGGAAGTTAAGTTTAAGTGCTTGTGTTGTTATATGAAACTATCAAACCACGCTTTACAGATTACACTTTCCTGCAATTAAACAGTTTTTTCTTCACTCATTTCAGATTGTCGAACATAATTTTATTTGATATATATTGCAACATACACAAGTACAAACACGTATTACAAAAAAGAATACCAAAACAAAAGACTAGGGATATCCTTGATAGTTGGGTACAATCGACGAACTTGCACCAGGAGCCGGATTACCACCGGCATGCACACCACCTGAAGGACATTTACGACGGTCGTTCCTGTTTGCGAGCATATGCCACATTTACGCGCATAAACGGTGTAACTAACATCCATTTGGTTCAGTATACGCGTTCTCTTGTGCACTTGAAGCTTGCGCAAATAGTCCTTGTTACATACCATCTTAAAAGGTTCCGGCGGCCAATAATGCTCAGCACCTAATGGCTGCAACTTCCCACTATACGTGTCTACGTATGCAGCAACACTCTATTGCCTATCAATATAGTTTGTTACCCCATATCCAACTTGTTGAAAGCACTTCAACGCATGTGCGCACGGCATGTGGTAGATGGTCCATTTCCCACATGAACATAACCTTCTATTTTTATTCACCGTCTGTAGATTATTCCCATGGTGTCCGCGGATAGCGGTCTTAACTTCAAAAAGACCCCGTTCATGATCGTACTAAAGAAATGAATGCCACTGTGCTCGCCTCCTGGACCTTTCAAATCTTCTCATGGGTATTGGCATAAATTGAACACCCCTGTCCATCAATGCCGATGCAGTTGCATGCCTTTCAACAAACCTCTCCGCACTCTGTTTGAATGTCATGCGGACCATGGCAGTGACAGGCAATCCACGAGCAGACTTCAACAAGCCATTGAATGACTCCGACACGTTTTTAGTGAGGGCTCCCCATCGTCTGCTGCCATCAGCATGCAATGTCCACATGTAAAGCTCATGTCGCATCAACCAAGTATAGGCTCGTGGATCTATCTGCCGGATCGCTTCCATGCGCCTCGTGAATTTGCACTGCTGGTGCTCAGTTGCAGCCATCCACATTAAGTCATGCAAGGCCTTGTCAGGAAATTTCTTCTGGAAATTGGCCTTCAGGTGCCTCACACAGTAACGGTGGTATGCATATGGTTCCTGCCATTCAGGCAAGTGACGTACAGAACATAAAATACTACCATGCCGATCAGATATTAGACAAATACCTGAACGCTGTTTGACAACGTGCTGCTTCAAGTGGTTCAAAAAAAGCGTCCACGTCTCTTCACTTTCGTTGGAACATATGGCAAAATCTAGTGGAAATATTTGTCTGTTGGCATCAACTGCAGCTGCAATCAAAAGCTTAATATCATACTTTCCATAGACATGAGTACCGTCTATGAAAATTACAGGACGACAATGCACAAAACCATCAATTGCTGCTTTAAATGACCAGAACACATAGTTGAAAATATATTCGGGTTTGTCCGGACTCCGCTCACGCCTCCATTCAACAACAGTGCCGGGGTTAAAATGTTGCAGTGCGGCCATGTACCTGGGCAGATTTGAAAAAGACTTATCCCAGTCGCCATAAATAAGTTCAAAGGCACGTTTGCGACCGAGATATGCCTTTCTTTTGGT